TTGACTTTTCTCCTCTCAAGCTGATTAAGAAAAGAACTATTTAGATTGTTCCACATACTCTGCAGGGTCCAGTTGAAGGGAGACATATTTCTCCCATTTCTATATAGGGCCTAATATCTCACAGGCAGTATGCTGTCTCGACTGTGGGGTCCTTGAGGCCTTGGAACATGTATTCTTGTCATGTATATTTCTTATAGCACCTCGTCATGCTTTGCATATAGAAAGTTTCAAATAAAGTTTTGTTGAGTGAGTGAATGAACAATTAATAAATGAATCTCAATACTTGTTTTTCTCTTTGTATCTACATCAGTCCCCCTATAAAAACACAGACTGGGGGCGCCTGGGTGGCGCAGTCGGTTAAGCGTCCGACTTCAGCCAGGTCACGATCTCGCGGTCCGTGAGTTCGAGCCCCGCGTCGGGCTCTGGGCTGACGGCTCAGAGCCTGGAGCCTGTTTCCGATTCTGTGTCTCCCTCTCTCTTTGCCCCTCCCCCGTTCATGCTCTGTCTCTCTCTGTCCCAAAAATAAATAAACGTTGAAAAAAAAAATTAAAAAAAAAAAAAAAAAACACAGACTGGATGTAGCCTACCAGGAGATTTGGAGCAAGAAGATGCGGCTCATGCTTCTTAAGCATAGGAATCAGATATGCATAAGGTCAAGGAGGAAAAAAATAAAGGTTGGATACCCATGGAACACAATCAGTCAACTGCATATGCAACAGTAGCCATTCCCACAAGCAAAGCCAAGGATGGCTTAGACCCAAAGATGGAGACCCAGGCAATTCAAGACGACCCAAGATAAACTATCCAGCAGATCTGCCAGCACATCTAATACTGCGTTCCACAATTTAAAAGGAATGTGGATGATTTTTATGTTAAAAATATGTGACATAAAACTTAGGTTATTTGAAGAAGGGATAAAATAGGCTAGTTAACATTGTTTGAGGATGTGAGCAGGGGAGGGGCACAGAGAGGGAGAGAGAGAGAGAGAGGGAGAGAGAGAGAGAAGCCCGAGCAGGCTTCATGCTGTCAGCCCATGACCTGAGCCGAAATCAAGACCTGGCTGCTCAACGGACTGAATCACACAGGTGCTCTGAGATCGGTCGGCTTTTGACTTCTCAAGCCAAACCAGAACTCAGCATTTATTCTTTACTTACCTCAGAGCAAAACAAAGTTTTTAAGGGCAAAGCATCCTAAAATGTGCTATTATTATGACAAGCTGCCACTTATTTCCTATCTGTGAATGTTAGGCTCTCTCTCTCATATACATACTTATATATTTATCTCCATTGTGTAGATGAGGAAACTCACGATCGATACCTTGCCAATGGTTACTCAAGTAGCAAGTAACAGAGCAGAGTTCAGTCCAAGGTCTAGCTGACTCCAAAGTCCATGTTCTTTGTAGTTGCCCACATGATCAGCAGGTCAAAACACACCTCGATCCATCAGAAGCTTTTCTATATCCTTACCTGGAAAAAAACCTGGCTTGTGTTAGATTATCTGACATCTCTCACTGTGTTTTACCCTAACTCACTCAGATGGGTATGAGTTGTCTTTCACTTTGCTTCCATTTCCTTCCTCTCTCCTTCCTCAGCAGCTCTTTGAACTCCAGTCACTTACTCAAAGTATTTATACCTCTCTTAAATATTCAAACTTTCTTGCTATTAGCAGCCACCTTCTGCTCAGCCTCTTCAGTTCCACCCCCTCCAGCATGTATCTACAGCCAGCCTGCATTAGGCCTGGCATCAAAACACTCACTGCTGCCTCCCACAGTGTTGACCTGCCATTTCATCGGCCAGGATTAGAGTCAAACACAGAGCCAAGCCCATGGCGCTTTCCCTGTGAAAAAGTACCATGACTCGGGCATTTAAAATGTCCACTGTTTCTTCTTTTGTGTTGTCTCTAGGCGAGAGGGTGCTTCCTGAAATAACCCCATAACTTAAATAACCAGCTCCAACTACAATTTGGCTTTTCCACCACTTGGCAAGTCTACTACCACCTGTCACTGAAATTCTGGTTTGTATTCTGAAGCGGGTATTCCGAACCTTCTTCTCTAACAACGAACAGCTAAACTAACAAGTCTCTCTTCCCAGCCCCCGGATTTTCCCACTTCTCCCTTCCTCAACATTGCCTACTGATTCAAGTTGATTTGTACTTGTGTTTAATACGTCAGAGGAGAGACTCCTCCCCGCCCCTTTTCATCTCCACATATACCTGTTCTACATCAACTATTCTCTGCAAAAGGGCTGGGCTTTGGAACAAATGGAACTGAATTCAAATCTCAGCTTTACAATTTTATTTGTAACTATACACCCTCAGGCAAATCTCTTAGATTTTTCCCAGGTCTGATCTCCACAACTTTAAAATGGAAAGAACAAAGCCTATTGTGGACAGTTTACGAGATTCCAACACAATGTGGGCACATTTTGGGGGTTTTGCCTGGTCCTTTTTCCATCTCCAGTAATAAAACCACACTCTCCTTTTGGCTTGAATGAAGCTGATTGTCTCCATGGGATGCGATAAAAGGCCCTGTCCTGGCCAATTAGAGAAGCAACACCTTTAAGCACAGGAGTTGGCTCATGGATATAACCCAAGTGGGGCAATCAGAGTCTACCTAGTGACTCATCTGATGATGACTGCGACAGAAACGTCTTATAATTTCTGGGATTGCTAACTACAAGGAGCATGCAAATCTAGAGCTGTTAGTGGCTATTTTTGCAAAAAAAAAAAAAGGGAGAGCCAGCCTAAGAATGGAGTTAAAACAGAGGAAAGCAGAGCTGAGAGATTTAAATAGGGAGAATTCTCGCACTGCTTAAGCATCCAATTCCTGGACTTCCTAGTATTATGAGAATACATGGTCGGCTTTTCTTCTGTTAGTTTGAATGGGTTTCTGTCAAATGCAACCAAAACCTCTGATTAAGAAACATCTGCAGTATCCAGCACGGTGCTTTACACACACAGTATTATATGTGCATGATATGCTGCTTTAATTCCTCTGCTGCTTTCTTTGAAGAACATCTCCCTCTTTACCCATAATGCCCTCAAGGATATTATTCCCACACTTATCACTTTCCTCTCCAACATCTTGAGTTTCTCTGCATATTTTGTTACTGCTTTCAGTGTGCCCGATAGCAAAGATTCATTATTTACATTTTTAAACACTTGTTGGTTTACAAAGCCCTTTCATATGCAATTAATCCTATGGGATCAGTCACCATAACTAGACTCTTCTTTTTTCAAATATCCCTCCCCCTTTTCTTTCCTATAGCTCTTACCTAGGTTCATCTCACCTGGATAATTGCACTCATTAAAATATATTCCATCTATGAATCTTGTCACTAAATTAAGCTTCCTAAAATGCCACTCTTGGCATGCCTCTTTTCTAGTGAAGAGTCAAAAATATCCCAGATAACTTTTCAAAAAAAAAAAAACCCATCTTTTTTCCCAATTAATCCAATATTGTACCTCAATTGGCACCACTTCACTTATCCAAACTTATCATAGAACCAGATGGTTCTACCACTTACCAAGATCTATCTCTTACCAGCTATGTGACTTTGGTCAACTTATGTCTCTGCTCTGAGACTCTGATGCCCCTACTGCAACCATGTCAATTTCTTTACCATCCCTTACTCATCCTACACTCATTTCCTCCTGCTATATTTTTTATTTCAGTTTTTTAATTTTTTTTTTTTTTTTTTTTTTTTTTGAAAAAGAGAGACTGAGCACGAGCTGGGAGAGGGACAGAGAGAGCGAGACACAGAATCCAGGCAGACTCCAGGCTCTGAGCTGTCAGCACAGAAGCTGATGTAGGGCTCAAACTCCTGGCCCATGAAATCATGACCTGAGCCAAAGTCAGATACTTAACTGACTGAGCCACCCCGGTGCCCCTTCCTGCTATATTTTTTAAAAAGCATTTTTAAGGCCTAATTTACGTAATATAAAATTCACCTACTCTAGGTTTGTGATTCACTGATTTCTAGTAAGTCTACCAAGTCATACAGCCATCACCATAACCTAGTCTTAGGCTACTTCTGTCACCCCAAGAAGATACATTGTGCTCATTTATAGTTAATCCCATTCTCATCTGCAGCCCCATCTTCTGTCTCTATAGATTTGCCTTCTCCAGACATTTGATATAAGTGGAGTTATAAACTACTTGGAATTTTGTGTTTGGCTTCTTTCACTTAACATAGTATACCAGGTTCATTCCTGCCTTCATCCTTTGTAGGTTCCGTATCACACCTTTCCCCTTCCTCTCTACCCACCCACATCCTTCATTGTTGCTGCTGCTGCTGCTGCTTTGAGGTACAATTAGAGAAACAGCACTTTTATAACATTATCTTAGACTCACGTCAATTCACAATTTCTATTGTATTCTGAATCTCCAAGGGGCCTCTAGGCTTCAGTTGTTCCTTAGTTGCTTCACACAGTTATCTTATTTTTCTTGCCGAGAAAAAAGAAAACTCTTTATGGAAAGTGTTAGACACACTTGGGAAATAAATAAATGTTCCTTGAAAAAAGTAATGAATTGGGTATGACTACTTAGACTTTTCTTTACCAAGAACACTTTCCAAGCACCATACTCAGGTAGGGCTCACTTTAAGAGATAATTTTTGAGGGGGGGGGTGCACCTGGGTGTCTCAGTCGGTTAAGCATCAGACCTCGGCTCAGGCTCAGGTCATGGGATCGTGGGTTCGAGCCCCACATCAGGCCCTGTGCTGACAACTCAGAGACTGGAGCTTGCTGTAGATTCTGTCTCTCTCTCTCTCTCTCTCTCTCCCCTTCCCCCACTCACACTCTGTGTCTCTCTCAAAAATAAATAAACATTAAAAAAATTTATAGAGAGATAATTAAAAAAATTTTTTTCTATGTCTATTTTGGAGAGAGAGAGACAGAGCATGAGCGGGGGGAGGAGCAGAGAGAGAGGGAGACACAGAATCCGAAGCAGGCTCCAGGCTCTCAGCTGTCAGCACAGAGCCCGACACGGCTCTGAACCCAGGATGCTCAGATCATGACCTGAGCCGAAGTCAGACACTCAACCAACTGAGCCAACCAGGCGCCCTAAGAGATAATTTGATTCAACTACAGAAGGGAAAGATCTAGTTGCATGACCTGCTAATTTCTATGCTGCTTATGCCAAAATCGCTTGCTAATGGACTGGACACAGACCACGGCTGTTCAAAACCTTATTCTTCTATCATCAATTTCCCCCATAAACTCTCAAATCTGGGGAACTGTCAATTCCTTGATCAGTCTCTGCTGGCACCTTAGTACATAGCTACTATCTTGCATATGGTGGGTGCTGAACAAACATGTGTATAACGAATGAATACGTGAATGCATACATAAGTGACGTATTCAATTAAGCACGCAGGACCTGGCCTCAGCGATCTCAGGAGACCTAAATAGTCAGAAGCTAGTAGTAGCTTCGGTTAAGAATTCCACTTTGGACATTGCAAATGCTAAATAAAGATCCATACTTACTGCATGTCAGTTTGTCAGAAACTAAATAAAAATAAAAGAATTTAGCTATGGAGACATCACAGGAAGCAGTACAGACCCCAAATACAAAGCAAGTGAAAAGCAAAAAATCATGATCTCCCTACTTTTCCAGGCTAACTCACTTATGCTTTAGGGGGTTGTTATATGTCACTTCCTCTGGTTAACATTCCTTTCTATCCCACGTTTGGTCACCTTTCTACTTTTCTCTTATCATATTCAACCTTTCAACAAATACTTGTTGAGTACCTACTGCTTGCAGGCAAGCCCTAAGGGCTTGTGATACAGTAGTGAGCAAAAGCAGAAAAAAGCACCATCCTGCATTCATGGAGCTTCCATTCTGGTGGATCATAGGTCACCATGTTTTCCTGCTTCATTGTCTGTGTGCTGGCTCCCCAAAGGCCAGAAATCAATCCTGTTATATCCACAACATCAACTCAATGCCTGCAACACAGTGGAACATTAATGCATATTCGTCGAACAGTGTGAACACATGAGCTGCCATTTATTGAACATACCAATATCTCATTTAATCCTCACACTTGCCTTAAGAGGAACATATATACCCACCCTTGTATCAGTAACATCTTGCTGTCCTAGTTCAGAGAGGTCAGTTAATGTGGCCAAGGCCACACAAGTAATTAAGCAAAAGATCCAGAATTCAAATGCAATTGTTTAACCCCAAAGCTATGTTCTGCTTTTCAAAACAAAAGGATAATATAAGAATAGTCAATAGGATGAGAATTCATCTTACCTAGATTTGCACGGACCCGATGAAAACACACCTGACTTCCATCCAGCGTTTGGAAGTTAATTCCAGAAGCAGCCACCTATACTGAGACAGGATAAGATGCCAATTATGAAGTAAGTGACAAGAGAACAGAACTGTTATGTATTCTTGAAAACTAATCAGCACCTCAAAAAAGTCATTTACCATTATATCCACATAAGCCAGTGTATTTTCCTAAAATGTTTTGGTTACCCCAGTTCTAAGAATAAAAATGATGGGAATTTAAAAATAAATAACAGCCATGTTGTTTGTCCCCAAACCTAAAAATGTTGACGTTATCCTACGTGAAAAATGTATTGTTGTTATTTACAGTGCTATATTGTTTTCTAATTATTACATGTGTCTAAATCTCATTCCCCCAAGCCTGCAGAAAATGCAAAGTCCCCGTGGACGTAAATTTCTCTTATCCTCTACAGCGTCTAACAAGATGCTGAGTATAGACTTAGCTCAGGGTCTAAAAAATGGAGATAAATTTAGAAAATCTGGTCCAGGGATGACTGTCTTTTCTGTCAAATTTTGCCTCCCAAGATTGTATCCCGTTACTCCATATCATTGAGGACAATGCCAGTCTTTTGTTATATCTTCACATCATTTGAAAAGGCCAAGTCAGTTATTCGTCTCCTCACATGTTAGAGAGAAAAGCAGGTTTTATTTTAAAATCAGCCTTGCTCCATTTCACGAATTCACTAGAAAAGGTGCCTAAATTCACATAAATGGTGGGCTGAATCTGTGCCGATAGGAGAGAAAGAAGGCAAGTGTGTGTGCGCACTTGTGGGTGGCTGAGCATCTTCATAAACCCCTCAGCTCCTCGGGAGGAGCTCACAGTACGTGCCATGGAAACAGTGGTTACCATGGAAAGAATGTGCCATGGCGACGGGCTGAAGAAATGCCTACGTAAAACCAACTTACCATGTAACCTTATACCTTCCAGCATTTTAAAAAATATGACAGGATTAGAGCACAGTCCTCTGGGGAGTCTCAGCCCTCACAATGATCTTCCAAAACAATCTAGAAAGCGAGATGATAAACTGCAGGGCGTTGTGTACCTTGCTAAAGGGCCTGACAAGCAGTTGGGTGGAGAAATTGCCAACATCGTTTATCTACGGACTGCACTTCACACTATTAAATATTTCCTGTTAAAACCCACAAAGTATTACAAATGAAGAGAAAACATGGATAAAATTAACTTAAAGGGAATGGTTTCCCGACTTACTGAGATCAGAATTGATGTGTTTCATCTAACTTATCTGTTAATAGGCTTTCTTGATGCCCTCGTGTTACCATAATCTCCAAAGCACTGGACAAACCAGTACATTTGTTTATCTTTATCACTCTTTGCTTACTAAAGAACTTGCTTTTATTAAAGAGATCAATCACCTGCACACAGTTTAATAGCCTGTGCAGTACATACAAGGTAAAAGGAAAAAAAGCAAAAAAAGGGTAAGGGGTGAGAGCCCTGTTTTCACAAAGCCCCAAAAGCATTCGAGAGGCAATAAAATAAACTTTCGAGATATATCTCTATCTCTATACCTACACATATATATGCAATCTTAAAGGTAAAAAACTTGATTATCAAACTTAGTGATCTAAAACATTTCTAAATGGGAAAGTGAAGGCTCAAAAGCAATCATTGTGTCTACTCTGCACTCAATTTTGTCTGGTTACTTTAATATGCAGCCAAACGATGCTAAGTGGAGAGACGTGAGTACGTTATGCGTCTCATACACGGCTCCTCTCCCTTGCTTCCACGGGAGAGCCAGACATTTGTGCCTCGCAGCCAGCCACGAAACCAGGAGTCCACCCGGGCTCAATGAGGACGTGGCATCCAAGGGCCACCGTCTTTGACCTGAGACACAAGGCATTGCTAAAATGCCAGTGCGTAGCTCACTGTCCACATTGCAGAGTGAAGGGATACTGTGCGGCTTTGCTTCTGAAACCGCTCTCCTTCCGACACTGAAGAACAACCCTATCCACAATCTCTTAGTGCAAGCAACATAATATCATATTTTATCTAGTCTTCTGGGATTAAAAATATTGATTGAAATTTTCATTGGAAGCTTTTCTTAAAAGACACTTTCTTCCAAACCTCTCTTTCTACTCCGTTGCAAGTCAGCTATTTTTCTTGCCAAAATGCAGGAAAGCAATTAGGCTCAAGGGTTTTATAAGCTGCACCAGTACAGGGCAAATCTATTGAACTTTGCTGAGAAATTCTTGTTCATTCACTGTGAAAATTTTGATGGTTTTATCCTCTTTCTTGATAACCACTTAGTTTTAGAAACCTGTGTAATGTGTGTAGTGCAGGATTTAAAGAGAGGCCATCCTAATTAAAGTGTTGTGATGTTAAACCGGAAGGTGCTAAACATATTCCTTTGATAACTGCAATTTCAAGCTCCAGTATATGTAGGAAAGAACTGAAGCTGAAATACAAAGGAAATTTAGCAGAGGCAGTGATGGCTAAGAGAAAATATTAAGCTGATCTGCAAAGTGCCTCGCAGGTTTTGAGAATAAAGCAGGAGGAAGTGAAGAGCTGAGCCTTCGTCTTCCATCGGCTGTCCCTGTTGCTGGTGATTACAGCCATCTTTCACCGAGAACATATGGCCGTGTTTATAGCCATCAGGCAGCGTTTCACAGAGCTACGACACCATGTGTCCACCAACTAGCCTTCCTGATTACAGTTAATTAGAGAGGAGGTGGGAAGCATTTTTTAAAATGATATTAAAGCACAAGGACGCCCAAAGTTCCCAGGCCTGTTTGCAAGACCAGGTGACAAGAGAGAGACTGATAGGAAAAGCGGAAGAAGCCAAGAGGAGCAGACATTTTGCACAACACTTTCCCTAAGAAATGAGCCAAATACAACAACAGCAAAACAAAGGAAAGAAAGCGTATGAACACAGAGACAGGAGAGCCTCACAATGCACTGTGCAAGATGTTACTTGGGAAACCTGCTAAAGCAAGAAACTACCTGAAAGTCCCTAATGCACTTTTTCAGGGGAAAAATTCCAAACCCAAACTACCATAACAGCATCTCTAAGAGTCACTTTGTAGTTAGCAAATCCAAGCTGCAGGATGTTCAATATAAAATTACATAGGCCCCTATTATACGCTATTGAACCCATTTCATGGTTCAGCAATGCTGTTTGGTCTCCTTTTAACCTCAAAGTAAAATGCAAGGCAACCTATATCACCAGGTAAATACCTAGCATGATTTAAGAGCCTCAGCTTTTCAAAACTCCCCTGTTTGAATTTGCAACATTTCCTCCATAAGCCCCTGGAAAACAGACTTGGCTGTGGAGGTTTCCAGAGGGAGTGCACTGGGCTCACAAGCAAACGAAAGCCTTAGTTTAGTAATTCTCTTCCTCCTATGGTTTACAGACTTCCCCTCCAAAGGGGCGGCTGTGTGTGGGTGTGTGTGCGTGTGTGCGCGTGTGTGGGTGGGTGTGGGTAGGTACCATTCTATCTATTACAGACACTTCTTCCTTTAGGCTCGTTTAAAAGTCTGAGAACACGTCCATTGGTAATTGTGTCATTTTTTTTCCCCTCTATTTCTCTGCTTTGCTGGAACTGGACCATAATGACATTAGATAGGTCGCATGATGGCAATTTAATGGCCTGAACTCAATCCACAGGTACATTGCTGTGGTCGCCTTGGGATCTGTTCTCATTGCTGCAACGTGACAGAAAATACCGGCAGAGTCAGAATGGATGGCCGACTGCACTGGTGAAGACAGAGCATCAGTGAGTGCAGAAGACATTGGCTCTGAAACCCCAGGGGCAGCCCAGCAGCTGCACCCGCACTACCCGACCCCTGCTGTTAACATGGAACACTTCACTCGGCAACATTCATTTACCATGTTCTCTGCTCAGCGCTGAGGGCACAGGGGCAAACAGAACGAACACACACAGGCCTGGCCCTCAAGTGGCTTATTGTTTCTCCAGGGAAAACACATAGGCATTCACATGGGCAAATGCACTAAAACACCAGAGACACCACTGTGATAGACCCACATACATAGTATAATAGTAGCACATAATAACAATGGAGCTGAACTGCCTTTAAACATCCAGTATGGTTGGAACGGGAGGTGGGGGAAGCATTTATGGTCTGGAAATTTAAGAGCCCGATAGTAAATCCAAAGCACATGTAATACTTTCAAAGGCCCATGTGAGTAAAGGGATGGATTCTGAACTCCCTCAAAGAAAAAATATGAAGATTAGATTGAAGAAATTCCCTGAGCATACTGAGGGAAAAATATATAAATTCAAAACGTTATAGCGGTTATACAATTAACTAAATACGACATCAAGAGCCCTGGTGAATGCTTCCGTGTTTTAGGGAAATTGACCCTCTAATTTTTTTCAGGGAACCACACGATGGTGATAATCTCTTTCACAGGTTTGTTAGAATCAGAAGAGATTGTGTGTGCCTGTGTGTGTGTGTGTGTATACATATATATAACATATTTATATATTTATATATATATAAATTTATATATATATACATATATATTTACATTAAATATAAAAATATAAATATAAATTTATATTAAAATATTTTGTAGAATCTAGGGCACCATTACAGTATTAGTAGATGCTATTGTGGCTCTATTGCTTTTAATCCTGTTTTCGTGGTAGTTAACTCTAAAACAGAGGTCAACAAATTATGGCCCATTGGCAAAATCTGGACCACAGAGGGCCACAGCCATTTATGTATTGTCCAAGGCTTTTATGCTATAATGGTAGGTTCTGTAGCTGGACAGGGAAAATATGGCTTGTAAAGCCAAAAATATTTACTGTCTGGACCTTTACGGAAAAGTTTGATGAGCCCTTTAAAAGAATCACGTGATATCAATCTACCTTTCCTTTTTTTTTTTTTTTTTTGACATTTGTGTTTTTTTGGCAGAAAACCGATTCCTAGGAAATGTTCTGTGATCAGATAAATGGAAAACACTACATATTGTATTCCCCTCGGGGAGATTAAAAATGTACTTTGGCATATGAAAAACTTTAAGAAGTCCCGTATAAAAGAAACCTATTTAGATTCATTT